CCAGCGCAGGGGGTACAGGTTTGATCCCTGGATGGGGAACTAAGATCCCACATGCCACAGGGTGTGGCCAAAAAGAAAACCCAACACAGCATTGTAAATCAACTATATGTCAATAAAAAAAAATTTTTTTAAGAGATATATCAGTACAGTAAAAGGAATCTCTTGCAGAAAAAGAAAGCTATCAATCTTAGCTTGTTTTCCTTCTTTAAGATCAAGAAAGTTTTTATTGAGCTTTAAACAAAACTTTTATGTCAAATATGCTGAAAATTTTGCCTGATCACACAGTTTGTATGCTTCAGAATCTGCTGAGTGCTACTGGAATGCCACATGAGAACAAGCAAACTGAATGACTTCTTTGTTTTTACTGGGGCAGGTGAAATTTGAATAACATAGTATGAAGAGTCCTACCATTAAAAAAAAAAAATCCGTAATAATTTTCTTGTGTTGTTTACTTTCTTTTGGGAGTGCAATTTAAGTTGAACTTAGAGTTGAATCTTCTGAAATGTTAAAAAAAAGTTCTGATTATGGAGCCAAGCCTTGTTTGAGTCAGAAAAATTCTATGCACGCCAAAAAAAGAAAAACCATGATTTTGTTCATAACAATCTGTTAGCTTTGTCCTAATCATGTCATCCCTTGGGCCTGTGAGCAGGAAATGAAATAAAAAGTTGTCTGCCAGCTTCCTTTTTTTGTTTTTCAATTGAAGATTCACAAACTTAAATATTAAATCAGTTTCAGGTGTACAACGTAGTGATTTACTATTTCTGTACATTACAAAATGATCACCATGATTAGTTTCCATCTGTCACCATACAAAATTATTACATTAATATTGACTGTATTTCCTATGCTATTCAGTACATTCCCATTCTTATTTATTTTATAACTGGAAGTTTGTACCTCTTAATTCTCTCCATCTATTTTGCCCATCCTCCACCTCCCCCCACCCCCGCCCCACAACCAGCCTCTTTCTTCTCTTTTTGTACGTGTTTACTCTCTTGTAATAGTGTTACTAGTTAGAAATCTCATGATCCAGAAGTAATAAGGAGGAAGTGGGAAGGGAAGGAAGGGAGAGGAACACAGATCAGTGGTTTTCAGCACCGAGCTGGGGGGTGGGCTGGTACTAGCTAGCACTAATCCGCAGAAGCCAGCCGTTCTGTCGGGCACAGTGACCCTGTGATGGCACGTGCTGGTGCTTCATGAATTGGAGCCCGTTCTTATTTTACAGTAAGTGAGCCCGCTTTGCAGGGACGAGGATTGCTTTTCTTCAGGGCCTCTGCACATCCCCAGAAACATTTGAAAACACCCGGCTTCAATCAGGTGACGACCCTACCGGAGCCTTTCCCTACCCACACTGTTCCCTCTGTGTGGAATTCTCTCCTCTTGTCTTCTCCAGGTTAGGTCTATCTCCTTTCGGTGGTTCTCAGACCTCTTATTCTCAAGATTTCTTTGTACACTTAAAATTTACTGAGGACCCAACTTCCCTGGTGGTCCAGTGGTTAAGAGTCCACCTTCCAATGCAGGGGACGTGAGTTCAAGCCCTGATCAGGGAACTGCAATCTCATATGCTTCAGGGGAAGCCCGAGACCCACAACTGAGACCCAGCGCAGCCAAATAAAAATAGTAAATACTTTTTAAAAATTACTGAGGCCCCAAAGAACTTTCATGTGGGCTATACTGATCAATGTTTACCATATTAGCAATTGAAACAAATTTTAAAATATTTATTCATTTTAAACAATAAATCCCTTTACTTTGTTAACATTAATAAATAATATGCATGTGTGTGCTAAGTAGTGTCTGACTCTGTGGGACCCTATGGACCTGCCAGGCTCCTCTGTCCAGGGCTTGTCCAGGCAAGGGTACCAGAGTGGGCTGCCATGCCCTCCTCCAGGGGATCTTCCCAACCCAGGGATCAAACCCGCATCTCTTACATCTCCTACATTGTCAGGTGGGTTCTTTACCACTAGTGCCAACTGGGAAGCCCCAATAATATAATTTTATGAAAAATGTTTCTTTTGTTTGGTTTTGGAAAATGTGGCTGGAAGACTATTTTAGGAAGTGTTTTGCATTTTATAAACTGGCTGGAAGATGGCTGGATTCTCATCTACATTGGGTCTCTCATAGCATTACTTGTTCTGTTGACTCTGGAAGACTCTATTGTACACTCGGGAAAGAGTAAAGTGGAAAAGGCAAATAATCTTATTATTTTTAAAATAGTTTGACCTCGTGGAGCCCCCTAAAAGGGTTCTCAAGACCCCCAGGACTCCTGAATTTCACTTTGAGAATCATTGCTTTAGATCTCAGTTCTGTGGTCACTTCTCCAGTGATGCCTTCTCTGACCTCCCTCCCAGGTCAGACTTTCCTATTTTATGCCTTAATATTATACCTCTCGTTTGTACAATTTATTAAAATACCATCTTTATAATGTTCTATTTCTGCTACTTGGCTCCTTGAGATTTGGGATCTTGTGTGGGTTTTGCTCACAATTATATCCTCAGCCTTTATGCAAGGGCCTGCCCCTGGGCTGGGCATTCAGGACATGTTTGAATAAATAAATGAGTAAGTCAGTTTAAATAAGCAGACTTCTTGGATTCAACTTGATTATAGACTTTGCTTTGAAATGTAAGCCCTTGTCTGAATTGTCTATCTGGTGTCTACATTCACGGCATCTGTTCCTTTCCTTTTTTTTCAGGCTGATCCTTGCTAAAACTGTTGCAGGCCCATTATGCCCTGGGTCTGCCAAGCATTCTGATCATACTCTTGTCTCACCCATTGCGCTGCATTATAGTTCTCCCACCCCCCTCACTAATTTTTTTAAAGTAGTATTTTTTTTTTAATATCTATTTATTTACTTGGCTGCATTGTTTCTTAATTGTGGCATGTGGAATCTAATTCCCTGACCTGGAATCTCATCTGGGTCCCCTGCATCAAGAGCAATTGCGTTTTAGCCACTACACAACCAGAGAAGTCTCTTATTTATTTATTTAAAAAATTCTCTAAAGAAAGATGATCATGAGATTATCATGATTTGTATTTTGTACTTTTCTGTATTTTCCAAAATTTCTGTGAACAAACCTGTGTTAACTTTCAGATGAGAAAAGAGAGTTATTACACCTGGAGGTAATGTATCACAGTGTAGTTGAGGAAGTTTCACGACCCCATCTGTGGCCATTTGCATGCTCCTCACTCCAGTGTAACCGCCAATTTAGTATCTGTTTTAGATATTTTCCTTTTTTGTCATTTCTTTATAAATGGGATCATATCTTATATGGTTATGTGTCAGATTTCTCTTACTTAGCATGATGTTTCTGAGGTTCATCCATGCAGTAGCATGTATCAGTATTCTGTTGTATGAATTTTCTGTTCACCCATTTGCTAGTTGATGGCCATTTGGATTGTTTCCACTTTTTCACTAGTATGACTCATTTCCTGATGGCTTGAATGGTAAAGAATCTTCCTGCAATGCAGGAGACCCAGGTTTCATCCCTGGGTTGGGAAGATTCCCTGCAGAAGGGAATGGCTACCCACTCCAATATTCTTGCCTGGAGGATGCCATGGACAGAGGAGCCCGGTGGCTATAGTCCATGGAATCACAAAGAGTCAGACACGCCTCAGTGACTAACACTTTCACTTTTTCATGACACATTCACATCCAAGTCTTTGTGAACAGTCATTTCTCCTAGGATGGAACATTGAATGGAATCATTGAGTCATATCATAAGCTGCTGAACTTTTAAAGAAACTGCCAGACTCCTTTATAAAGTGACTGCATCATTTTATCGCCACCCCCCACCCAACTAGATTCTTGAGAAACTTATTGAGAAAAGGAATTGTGACTTGTTTATCTTTTCAGTCCCTGTCTCCAAGGCCCACTAGCCTATCTTAGCATATGCGTGCATGCTAAGTCGCTTCAGTTGTGTCCGACTCTGTGTGACCCTATGGATTGTAGCCTGCCAGGCTCCTCTGTCCGTGGGATTCTCTAGGCAATAGTACTGGAGTGGGTTGCCATGCCTTCCTCTGGGGGATCTTCCCTACTCAGGGATTGAACTCATGTCTCATGTCTCCTGCATTGACACGTAGGTTCTTTACCACTAGCGCCATTTGGGAAGCCCCACTTGGCATATAGTTGACACTCAGTTTTTATTGAATGTGTCACATTGGATATGCTACAATTGCAAGTAAATATAAAAATTTTGACCTAAGAGAAATCATGTTCCCAGTGCATGGGTTACTGACAGGTTATTTCTGAATTGTTTGGCGCGTCAGAATGTATAGGATGGATGGGATGGAGGAGTAAAAAGAACGTCCAAGACGGAGGGGATATATGTATGCATATGACTGATTCACTTTGTTGTACAGAAGAAACTAACAATATTGTAAAGCAAGTATACCCCAATTAAAATTAAAAAAAGAATACATAGGATATTCTGTAGGTATTCTGATTTCCAAACAGGAATCATGATGATCAGGTATTTTTAAAATGTTTGTTATACGTGGACATCATTCTGTCAGCAGGTATTTGTTATGTCGAGGTCCCAGGCGCTTAGTGTAAACTGGATAGTCTTGATCCCTACCCTCAAGGACACGTGGTCTAGCCATCCGGTTTAGGAGTCAGCTGACGTTTTCTGTAAAGGACTGAATACTAAATGTTGAGATTTGAGAGCCATATGGTCTTGGTTACAAGTATTCACCTTTGCATTGTGACCCCAAAGTGGCCACAGACACCCTGTGAGCTAGTGAGTGTGGCCATATTCCAGTACAACTTCGTTTACAAAAACGAGAGGAGATTGAATTTGGCACATGGGCTGTAGGTGCTGACTCTTGATCTAGTTTGTTTCTCTGTCTTTAACTCGTATCCAGAGCAACAGTTTTCATATTTTCAATGAAACTTTCAGTGTCTTGTTTGCTAGAATTAGCTGAGGTGTGATTTTTAAAGAACTTGATCTCATGCAAACAACTAAAAGCTAATGCTTGTTTTTTTCTTTTGTACTTCTATCTAGGACATTTTATTTCCTTACGTCAAAGAAAATGTTAAAGAGTATCTGCAGACACATTGGGGAGAAGAGGAGTGCCAAGAGGATGTCAGTCTTTTGAGGAAACAGGTTGGGATGTTTCTGTTCCCTTGCTTCTACATTCCCAAGGGTGTTAGAGCTGCGGATGCCTGAAGGCTTAGAATATGCTCTGGGCTTATTATTTTTTTGTGTGTGGGGGGGGCTCATTTTAAAATAAGCGCTCTAGATTCACAGGGCGTGGAAGTTGCCGTGACTTGCCTGCTTAGGAATCCATATAATTCAATGGCCAGATCATGGCAGTTTATTGTCTCTACAGTTGCCTCTTTCTGAAGCCGTTTCAGTTGCATGCAGATATCATGTATCTATCAAACTAAGTCATTTCTGGGTGGAATGCAGAAAGGTCTCGGGCCGTTTAGTCACGTTTTTCATGAGTGTCTTTGTGACTGCGCTTGTTAACCTCGCTCCCCACTGTCTCTTCCCCGCGGCATGAGGCCCTGCTGCCCGGCCAAAGAGCTCCTGGGCCCGCACCTCTCACGCCAGCTCACTCTCGGCCCAGTCTTTTTTTTTTTAACTAAAAAGATTTTATTTATCATTCACTTACTTCCTGCCTGCACTGGTCTTCGTCGCTGCGCGGGCTCCCCTCTAGTCGCGGGGAGCAGGGGCTACCCTCCCGCGGTGCAAGAGCTCACCGCAGTGGCTTCTCGCTGCAGAGCCTGGGTTTTGGGGTGCGTGGGCTTCAGTCCTCGTGCCTCCCAGCCTCCAGAGCACAGGCTCAGTAGTTGTGGCTCACAGGCTTAGTTACTCCACGGCATGTGGGATCCTCTCGGGCCAGGGATCGAACCCGTGCCTCCTGCATTGGCAGGCGGATTCTTTGCCACTGAGCCACCAGGAATGCCCCTCCGCCCAGTCTTTATACCTGCCTTTAGTTGCACATGCTCTGCTCTGCTCTGACCCCTACGACTGTGCTCTGTGGAGCTCTTGTTCTGTTGTTTTTCTTATTAAAATTGCTTCACTGGCAAAGGTCTTACATGCTGTGCAGAGCAAGCTCTCTGGCAGTCCTTTTAGAGTTAATTTTTTGCATCAGACAATGTGGGAGGCTCTGTAAGTTCTTTCAGGACCGGATTGAAGAGAGTCACAGCCTTTGGGGCATGGGGCATTTGGGTTTGTTAAATTTTCCAGATAACTCAGGGTTAGTCTGATACATTCCCCTCTTCACCTTTTTTGGTGTCAGCTCTTGTTGTGGAAACATACATATGTATTCCCCCATTGAAGTATATGAATCATTGCATCTTTAAGGGTTGGGCATACACATTGTCACAGGCTCAATAGCTATTAGGGTTTTGCAAGATGTGGGCTGATTGCAGGAGACTGTATGTGAACCAACCCCAGGCATTGCTTCACTAGTTTCTTTTCATTGAATTCCAAGCATAAACTAAGATTTTCTTGATTTCTTCCTCAGTTAGTTATAGTGCAGAGAAAATGATCAGATTTAACTGAAGCCCTGGTTTGATCTTAGTAAGTGAATCGACAAACCAGGTCTTATTATAACATTTTATCATTTTGTGCTCTTTCTTCTCACAACATGCCTCTTGGTTTAAGTTTCAGCTTTAGTGATACAGGAAAGCTGTTGTAAACTTAAGAATTATAATCCACTATTTTTTAGGAATCATTCATTTCAGTCCCAAAGCATAAGATACTTTAATTTGTGATGGTGCTCGGAGCTCACGGTAGTTGGAGAAAGTTGGGTCTGCTAGTTTTCAGGTATCATTTAAGGGATCTCTTCACAGATTTCGTGTTGTTGTTGACTTAAAGGCTGAAGAGGACTCCCACCTGGATGGGGCTGTTCCGATCCCGGCAGCCTCTGGTAATGGGGCGGACGACCCGCAGTGGATGATCCAGGCCGTGGTGGATAACGTGTACTGGCAGATGTCGCTGGACCGGAAGACCACGGCGCTGAAGCAGCTGCAGGGCCACATGTGGAGGGCGGCGTTCAAGGCTGGGCACATGAAAGCGGAGTACGTAGCCCCTCAAGTGACTCAACACTTCACCCGCCCCCTGAAGCACATGCATTTTGCACTGCTTTTCTCTCTCCGATGCCAGTTGCACGATTTGCAAAGTAGCTAAAATCAACCTTCTATTTACTCCAACAAGTGAGTGTGTTATTTTGTTTTTTCAAAGCTGGGATAAATTTAGTTCACCCAGCTAAATTGCCCAGGCCTATATCTGGCTTGGTGTGATGGTTGGAAACTTTTAACCTCAGCGGTAGAAAACGGCGGCTTCCTTGGGCTCAGTCATACCTGATGCTTAGCGTGTGAGTGACAGCACCGTTGGGCACTTCCCAGAATTGTTAGATCACCTGCTTCCGCTCTGTTGGAGAAGGAAGGATTCTGTGAAATGATGCACCCGCCACTGCGGGCTTACTCAGTGTCCGCACTTTTCCACAGACCTTGGGGTCTGAGCACACCTGCCAAAGGAGACTTGTGAGTCCTGTATTGCTAAGAGAGTCTTAGTAAGTCACATCTATTAGGATTTTAGGGCATTGCCTGATGTAAAGCCTGAGACCCAAGACTGTTACTAGCTGCTTTTCTTTCTTTCTTCTGTCAATTTGAGATGCTGTTCCTTTTAGGTGCTTTACAAGGGGGCTTCTACCTTTTAAGGATGCTTGAGAATTTCAGGCTAGGCCAGTGATGTGGAAATCAATATCAGTTAGTTCACACTGTAAAACACCCAGAGGAGTGGAGCCAGGAGACCATGTCATAGGAGTCAGCTCTGCCTTCTCGTAGTCTTCGTTCCTTAATTATAAAACCAAGGGCTTGAAGTAAATCACCTTAGACTTCTAAGCCCTGCTTTGGAGCAGTATCAGTCTGTAGATTCAACATAGAATAATCCTGCCTCTGAGTGAAAAGTAACACAGGAAGTAACTCACAGTTATGTGAACTGGTTTTTAACTAAGTCGTCGATTCCTTTCCTTCAATTTGTGTAATATATTGAGTTGTGTTTCATCCAGCAGAAGACTTCTCCAGCATTTTCCAGGTAATCCTCTATAACAGACTGGCTCCACCTCCCAAGTTTCTCATGCTTCTCTTTTCACCCATTTCCTGTGATATTCCCTTCCTGAACAGAATACATCGCAGAATTGGTGAACAAGTTAGTGTCAGGACCCAGAAAACCAGACACGACACTTTGCTGATTAGCAAATGTGAGATGGTACATGTCTCTTAACTGATTCGTTCCATAGTTTTTTTCTGTAGAGTAAAACTTGAGATTTTCTTAGTTCTCAAGAAATGTAGTTCTGTTTTCTAGCTAATCGAAGACAAATAGCTTTGAGTCCCCCAATTTTTTTTTTAGTTGTTTGAGTACAGATCTTTCTAAAAGCATTTCCGTGCTTTCTTATTAAGGCACTCTGGACATAACCTTTTCTAGTCATGAACTAATTGAAGATTACACAGCAGTGCAGTATTACTGTTGTTTGCTTTTTGGAATTCCTTAGGACATCAAAAAACTGCTTTCTTATTTTATCTCTTTGTCCATAATCACTTTTTACTGTCATTAGGGTGGCTGTGTGTCAAAAACCCTTCCCCTCTCCCCTGAAACTGCTTCTAACCTGCTGTGACGGTGGCACGCTGGGGACGCGCTCATGACCTTTGCAGGAGCTCTCAGCCTCATGGAGGTGCTTTCCCTGGTGTCCATTTGTCCACAAATAGAGAAACTCGTGGCAGCTGTGTGACTGGTTTTCATCAGCTGCAATAACCTTTTCCTGCATTTTACCTCCGTGCTCTTCCCTCTAGGTTCTTTGAAGACGTGGTTCCGGCTGTCAGGAAGTGGCGAGAGGCTGGAATGAAGGTGTATGTCTATTCTTCAGGGAGCGTGGAAGCACAGAAACTATTATTTGGGCATTCTACAGAGGGAGATATTCTTGAGGTAGGTTGCCCGATTACTTTGTTTTTTGGACACCCTCAAAGCATAAAATAGTGACTGTGAGTGCTATAGTTATAAACTAAGTCAGCATTCAGGTAATTGCCTTTACATATGTGCGAGTTGAAAAAAGTGGACAAAACGGGGATTACATTATGGAAGGGTGAACTGTAGCCATAGTTCAGAGTGTGCACCACTTTGTAAGGAGTTGTTATACTTTGCTGCCCATAAGGAACTTGAGAAGTTTGTTAAGAATGTAGATCCCTGGGCCCCACTTGGTAGCACATCTTGAATCAGCAGATCTGGGGTGAGGGTCACGCATGTGCATTTTAAAATATCCACCCTAAGTGATTCCGTTGACAGTAGTATTGAAACTAGCTATATATACTTATTTATATATGTATATAGATTGACCTATCTATATATTCATCCACACACACACATTTATCACAGCTGAATAAGACATGAGTTAGCTTGTAAACCAGCTATCTTGTCAGTATTAGAAAATTGTCAGCCTAAAGGAAGGGAAACTGATGGCTTCTTTTGGTTGTTGAAGGTATCAGGTAAAATGTACAATAGTGGCACGTAACTTTGTGGTGGTGGTTTACTCGCTAAGTCGTGCCCAACTCTGGTGACCCCATGTGGGGTAGCCCGCCAGACTCCTCTGTCCATGGGATTTCCAGGAAAGAAATACTGGAGTGGGTTGCCGTTTCCTTCGCCAGGGGATCTTCCTGACCCAGGGATGGAACCTGGGTCTCAGAAAAGGACACACAGACTTCTTGAGTGCCTGAGAGGACACGGCAGTTTCCTTTGTTTCTGGTACTTTGGAGACAGATTTTATTTTAGCAGAATCCTCATTCTTCTGGAAGAGAACTGGCCATGTTATTGCACAAAATAACTTAAGGCCATCTTTGAACACTTCTTGTACCTGAGAAGGGTCTGGCTAGCTTTTCTGTCCCGCTGTCCCTGCGCCCCCTGGTGGACAGGATGGTCATTGGAAAAGAGAAAAAAATGCTGAGTAACTGAATACAGGCCAAACTTAATGTAGCACAATAGTTTACTGAGCTAACTATTTTTTAAAAATAAATATTTATTGACCCTTTAGCATATACAGAGAAAGGTTTGGTTGGAGATTGTCACAGTCTCATTTTACTTTCCTTCTTTTCATCTTAATTCTAAATCAAATATTAAATAAAATGCTTTCATTGATAAAACCCTTTCATTGTTTGGTAACTATTCTTCTCTGAATACAGATTTAAGCTTCTTTTCTGCTATCTCTGATAAAACAACCAGGTGATAAGAGACAGGATGTAAAAATTACCTGCTAGGTTCAGTAATGAATACTTTATTCTCCACTTGCTCATTGTGAGACAGACTTGAGAAAGAAAATATGCAAAACCATTCTTAACTTTAAAAATCATAATATTAATATACCTTAATTTCTTTGAGTGATTGTTTTTAGTTTGAGTGTTTTTAGTTAGGCTTATTTTTAGTTTGTGAATAGTTCTGAAAATATTCAAGAGATCACATTATATAATGATTATGTGTGCTCAGTCGTATCCAACTCTCTGTAACACCATGGACTGTAGCCCACGAGGCTTTTCTGTCCATGGGATTTCCCAGGCAAGAATACTGGAGCAGGTTACCATTTCCTCCTCCAGGGGATCTTTCTGACCCAGGGATCGAACCTGCAGTTCCTGCATTGGCAGGTGGATTCTTTACCAGTGAGCTACCTGGGAAGGCTGCCACTATTACTACTCAAAAATGCTAGATAGAATATTGGGTTGGATAGAATTTCAAAATGTTTAATTTAGAAAATCAAAGTTTCTTGGAAGTAAGATAGCAGCTTAGTAATGAGGCAGGTTAGAGAAATCTGTTCATGGTGTCATCAAAAGGACAATGTGGAGAACTTTTTCATCAGAGGTAAAACCTAGTCCATAAGTAGTTTGAGTGCATATAGTATTGTAATGGTAGAAAATAGGGCATATATATGTAAAAGACTTCGGATATAAAATTGAAAATGAAAGAAAGCTGAAAAGATTACAGAATGATCTTATATACATTGGCTCAGTAGTTTCCTTCTTCCAGATGTTTATTTCTACAAAATCTTACTTTATTTTTCATAGCCTCAAGGTTCTCCATGAAGTAGACCTACAGGGAATATTTCTTGAGTGGATGAAGTGACTGTGATGGTTATTTCAAAGAAAAGGGATGAGAACCAGAGGGCCTGGGTTGCACATGTGCTCATAGCATCCTTCTTTCCCCTCCTGTGTGTTCAGCTTGTGGATGGTCACTTTGATACCAAGATTGGACACAAAGTGGAGAGTGAGAGTTACCGCAAGATCGCCAGCAGCATCGGCTGTTCAACCAACAACATCTTGTTTCTGACGGATGTTTCCCGAGGTGAGTAATCTGACTTCTTGCATTGTACACTCCAGGTTGGGAGTGGAGCCGGGCACTGGAAACACTCCGCCTTCATAAAGAAGGTTTCCATGGGGAGCCATGAGAAATGAAACAGGTTTCTAAAGGAAACTGCAAATAGATGCTTACAGACAAAACTTGCCCGGTGGTGATCTTGGTAAGAGGTCTAATGCTAAGCAGTCATTAACCAGTGTCAGGTCCCACGTGGACAGTGATGACTCAGCTTGGTCGAGAAGCTGGGTTGCTGGTCGAGAGGACTGTGCTAGAGGCAGGGGTGCTTGGGAACTGTGCTTGGGAACTCGGGGTGCGTGGAAGGCAGTGGCCCTGCTGCGGAGTGAATGCTTCTGAGGAGGGGAGTGTGGAGCACTCGTTTCCGGGGAGGTGACAGTCCTTTCACAGAAGGAGGAACATAGAAGAGACTGCTCTGCCCCATTTACTTTTCGTACTTAAAGTGAAAGTCTGTTAGTCACTCGGTTGTGTCCAACTCTTTGCGACTCCATGGACTGTAGCCTGCCAGGCTCCTCTGTCCATGGGGATTCTCCAGGCAAGAATAATCGGAGTGGGTTGCCATTCCGTTCTCCAGGGGATTTTCCCGACCCACGGATCAAACCCAGATCTCCTGCATTGCAGGCAGAGTTTTCACCTTCTCAGTCATGAGGGAAGCCCGTTGCCCTTTAATGAATGCATTCTGTTGCTCTGTTTTCCTCAGGTTGAGAAACCACTGGGGATTCTTACTACGCCAGATCTGAATTCCAGAGCATGTGTTTCAGATTCTTGCCCTGTTTTGCCCATCTCTCTGACCGCAGACCTGTGTCCTGTCTCCTTCTTCCACTGTTTGCACGTGTATTTTATGTCTGCCTGCAGTGCCTCCTCTCTTGCCAGTTTTCCTTCCTTGAAGTTTCTGATCAAAACTCACACTCTCTGCAGAGGAGTCATTTGTTAAATTGCAGGTTCTAATTCAGTAGTGGCACATTGAGGACCTGAGTCATTGCATTTTTAACAAGCTTCCAGGTGATTCCCACACTGCTGGTCCAGGGACCGCTCAGAGCAGTAGTGCTCTTGAGCAGGAGTTGATAGTAGTGTTCTGTAAAGGGCCAGACAGTAAATATTTTAGGCTTTGCAGGCCATGCAGCTATTCAACTCTGGTCTTTGAAATGCAGAAGCAGCCATAGACAGTACAGAAGTGAGTGGGCCTGGCTGTTTCCAATAAAACTGTTTACGAAGTCACGAGGTAGGCCGTCATTTGCTGACTTTCGTTCTAGAGCACAGACCATAGAGTCTGACACATGATTTCAACCTGTATCTCTGTCACTGGCTAGCTCTCAGTTTCCATGTCTGTAGAATGGGATGGTAATGTAAAGCTAATTACCTAAGGGTTGTTGGAAAGATTTAGATGGGAATGAAAACTCCATGAAGACAAGACCTTTATTTTGTTCCTGTTTCTGGTCCTAGCATAGTACCTGGCACATAGTAGCTGCTAATTTAACACAAGGTATTAGCTATTATCTTTCAGATAGAAACAGGAGGAGGAGGGGATTGTAACCCGAGACATGTTAGAGATATCCCCCGAAATATGTGGCTTACTTAGTTTCATTTGACTAGTCCTGTTTTTTTTCTTGTTTGTTTGTTTTGGCTGCGCTGGTTCTTTGTTGCTTTCCTTGGGCTTTCTTTTGTTGCAGAGCACCGGCTCTAGGATGTGCAGGCTCAGTAGTTGAGGCATAGAGCTTAATTGCCCTGTGCCATGTGGAATCTTGCTGGATCAGGGATCAAGTCCATGTCCCCTGCATTGACAGGCAGATTCTTTATCAGTGGACCACCAGGGAAGTTCTGACTAGTCCTGTTTTTATTTCTACCCATGCATGCTATAGGCTTCCCTGGTGGGTCAGATGGTAAAGAATCCGCTTGCAATGTAGGAGACCTGAGTTCGATTCCTTGTTTTGGGAAGATCCCCTGGAGGAGGGCATGGCAACCCAGTGCAGTATTCTTGCCTGGAGAATCCCCATGGGCAGAGGTGCCTGGTGGGCCGTGGGGTTGGAAAGAGTCGGACATGACTGAGTGACTAACAGATCCATGCTGTCACTGATGTTAAAGCACTCACGGTCCAGTGAGAAGAGAGGCAACAGGTAGTGACGTGTCGGGTCATATTGTCCTGTGCACGCTTAGTCACGTCAGTCATGTCCGACTTCTGCTACCCTACGGACTGTAGCCCTCCAGACTTGGAGGTTCTTTACCACCAGCGCCACTTGGGATGTGCCTCATACTGTCCTGATGGAACTAAATACACGGAACACCTAGGATGCTCTAACACAGATGGTGGTGGCTCTAAAAGATAGAATATTTGAGCTGAATTTCGAAGAGTAGGAATCCGCCAGGTGAAAACGGTGGGCAGTCTAGCCAAGGGTTATGACATTTTTGGGCTCCAGGTATAAGTAGGTATTTAGCCTGATTAGATCCTGGGGTTCCATTTGTCTCATATCTATTTAATTGGAATTATTCCTGACAGCCTGTCCTCTGGGAAACAGCTCAGGTCTCTGGAGGGCTGATGGGAGGGAATGGAAGAAAGCTGTCGGCAGGACATGGCTCTGTCTTTGTGCGTTCATAAGCGGTTAATAAAGCTCAGGAGTCTAGGATACACCATCCTCCCAGTCTGTCAGTATAGTTACGTATTTGAAAAAATGTTTTCTGGAAAAATTTAAAACTATTTAAAACAATAATTCCACCCCCATATGCCTTTTTTTTTTTTTAAAGATTATTTAGTTATTAGTCTAGTTCCCTGGCCAGGGATCGAGCCCTGGCCCCCTGCATTGGGAGCTTGGAGGCTTAGCCACTGGACCACCAGGGAAGTCCCCATGTGCCTGTTTTTTAAGCTTCAACAATTATAGAATCTGGACCACATTTCTTTCCTTTTTTAAGATTTTTTTTTTTTGAGACAAACCTTTTTTTTTAAGTCTTTGTTGAATTTCTTACTATATTGCTTCAGTTTTATTGTGTTGGTTTTTTTGGCCACAAGGCATGTGGGATCTTACTTTCCTGACCAAGGATCAAACCCTCTGCATTGGAAGGCAAAGTCTTAACCCCTGGACCATCAATGAAGTCCTGAGACTTGTTTCTTGCAGTCCCACCTCCCTCTGATCACTTTGAAGCAAATCCCAAGCATCCTATTCTGCTGTTTCTGACACGTCTTTTGCTTCTCGCAGAGGCCAGCGCTGCTGAGGAGGCGGGCGTGCATGTGGCCGTAGTGGTAAGACCGGGCAACGCAGGGTTAACTGATGATGAGAAGACCCACTTCAGCCTCATCACATCCTTCAGCGAACTGTACCTGCCTTCCTCAGCCTAGGGGAGGGCCCCGAGGAAGATCAGACTGTCTTCACAGCCTCATCCCTGTTGTCTAGTTTTATTCTAATGGTAAAAGGCATTTGCTTAAAAAATACAGATAAACACACATGGAAGTTTTGTTAAGTGTGTGTATGTTCAGACTTCCTTTCACAAGCACATAAATGGGAAAAAGAATCTCTGTTCAGTGAAAAGGAAACTTATTTTAAAGATGCTCTATCTGTAGAAATTGTTTGGGACCATAACCCTAACCCTTATGGAGGGCGATGTATAGTTGAGAGAAGAAATTATGACTGAACAGGTCAAATGTGTTAATGTTTATCAAGTCAAGTATCAAAATAGGTTTGTTTGAGTGGTTTCTCAGAAGCCTTGTTATTTTGAAACCAGAAGTTTTTCAAAGACATTCCTAATAATAATTTACTTCCCCTTTTAAATTGTGAGTTTAAGATTACAACAACCTAATTTGAAACTATTAATCTCTACTTACAAATGACAAAGCTATTTGTTTCTGCTCCAGAAGAGAGCAGAGTTGGGAAAGAAAATGCATGTGAGTCTTGATTAACCAAGTGTCTGCTACTTAAGAAACTTGTTGATCATTGTGGTATCCACAGCAAGCAGTTGCCTTACCAGTGGAAAAGATGCACTAATGTAACAGCTGAAATAGAAATGTGCTTCCTAAAGTTTAACCAAACGGCCCTAATCCTGCCCGTTGTTACAGATTTCAGAGCTGCCCAGCTAACTACTTCTTAGCACAGTTTGAGAACATATGTTAATTCCTATTTACTATTAAAAAATAAATGGTTTACTGAAATGTGTTCAAAAGACCTAGAGCCCTGATATCTAATATGAAATGGATGCAAGAAATGTAAATTTTGTAACAGCATTATTTATCCTGGTTCAGCCTAATGGGATGGCATGTCAGTTTCATGTGATTAATAAAAGCATTTTCTTCTTCACTCGGTTTTATGGAAGCTTACTTACTGCCATAGCAAAAAAGTAGCTGAAGAGAGATTGGATAAATAAGAATTTTAGTTTAGCTTTTGCCTTAATCTTGAGTGTGTGTTTGTGATATGGGTGTTTATGTGTGTATACATTTTAATGGATGCCAGTAGAAAATCATTGACCATTATTTGAGTTTTATATATATATATGGGTAGCCTTAGTAGTTACTATTTCATTTGGATAGTAAACATTCAAGATATAAGTGGATTTCTTAGATTTTTGAGAATCTTCTGTTTGAGGTATATAAGATAATGCTTGGAGGAGGCAACTATTCTCCCAATTAATCAAGAAAAATGAATGAATCCTGGAGTAATGATTTTAGTAGCCTTGCAAATAGGAGAGGACAGGGAACATAAAAGATTTTATGTTGATGGTTTCTGTGTTGTAGCAGCTACTTAAGAAGTCTAAGGACTGTGAAGATGTTATTGTTCGGTTGCTCAGTCATGTCTGACTCTTTGTGACCTCCTGAACTGTAACACAGGCTTCCCCGTCCTTCACCGTCTCCCGGACTACACTCAAACTCATGTCCACTGAGTCGGTGATGCCATCCAACCATCTCATCCTCGGTCGTCCCCTTCTCCTCCTGCCTTCAGTCTTTCCCAGCTTCAAGGTCTTTGCAAGATATATGAAAATATAGAACAGTCATAAAAGGGAGATGAATGTAAGTAAATCTTAGAAATGGGAGTAATTTGTAAGTGTTAGTAAAGCCACAAATGGTAATTAAAGGATGAACTTCATACAGATTCTGAAAAAGCTTATGAGAAGACAAAAGAAAGGGGATGGCTTAATGATAGAGGGACAACTGGAAAAGTCAGGAAGGAATGAGAGAAAGTTGTGTACCAGGGACGAGATCAGAAAGAAATGAAAAGAAGAATGCTCAGTTTCTAGCCAGTGGAGAATTGAGCTGGAGAGTATCTTAGTCCCTCTAGGCTGCTATAACAAAATCACAGAGACTAGGTAGCTTAGAAACAGCACAACTTTATTTTTCACAGTTCTGAAGGCTGGGAAGTCCAAGACCAAGGTGCTGGTGAATTCATCATTTGGGGAAGAGCTTGGGTCTTGCTCTGGTGGGCGGGCCCATGCTCAGTAAATCTTTAATCCAGTTTTCTGCTGATGGGTGGGGCCTGAGGCTGCCCAGTCCTGGAGTCTGCAGTCTCTATGGTCGAGCTGCCATATGTGATACCTCTATGGTAGAGCCTGGGCTTCCCTTGTGACTCTGCTGGTAAAGAATCCACCAGCAATGTGGGAGACCTGTGTTCGATCCCCGGGTTGGGAAGATCCTCTGGAAAAGGGAAAGGCTACCACTCTGTTGCAGGAAGGGGGACCCCTTCCAGGGCCCGAAGCTGGGTTTTTGTCTAACACTCAGAAATGAATTGTCCGAGGAGACACATGCTGACAAAGCGAGAGATTTTATTGGGAAGGGGCACCCGGGTGGAGAGCAGGAGGGTAAGGGAACCCAGGAGAACTGCTCTGTGCGTGGCTCGTAGTCTTGGGTTTTATGGTGATGGGATTGGTTTCCAGGTGGTCTTTGGCCAATCATTCTAATTCAGAGTCTTTCCTGGTGGCGCATGCATCGCTCAGCTAAGATGGATGCTAGCGAGAGGGATTCTAGGAGGTGGACGGACAGGCAGTGTCTCCCCTCGACCTTTCCCGAACTCTTCTGACTGGTGGTGGCTTATTAGTTCTGTATTCCTTATCAGGATCTCCTGTCATAAAACAACTCATGCAGATGGTTACTAGGGTGCCTGGCCAGGGTGGGCGGTTTCAATCAGTGTGCTTCCCCTAACAACTCCAGTATTCTGGCCTGGAGAATTCCATGAACTCTATAGTCCATGGGGTCACAGAGTCGGACTCTATTGAGCGACTTTCATTTTCACTTTCACTTTTCTCTTGTGGTAGGGCTAATGGCAACCTCCTCCAAGAGGACTCATGCCAACACACTGTGCCTCCCGGGACGGCTGCTGCCAGTGGCCCTGTTCCCGCAGCAGGCCGCTGTTGACCCACGCCTCCACAGGAGACTCCTGGACACTCACAGGCAGGTCCGGCTCAGGCTCCTGTGGGGTTGCGGCTCCTTTCCTCTGGGTCCTGGTGTGCAGGTTTTCTTTGTGTCCTCCAAGAGTCTCTAGCAGGTATGGAGTTTGATTTTAACCTGGCTGTGCCCCCTCCTACTGTCTCGTTGCAGCTTCTCCTTCGTCCTTGGACAGGGGATATCTTTTTTTGGTGGGTTCCAACATCCTTCTGTTGATGGTTGTTCAGCAGCTAGTTGCGATTTTGGTATTCTCGCAGGAGAAGATGAGAGACGAGGGGAGAAGCCTGTTCCCTCGCCGCTGGCTGTCTTTGTCGCTGTCACCGCACGTGGTGGTGGAGGAGCTTCTTGGGCCTCATTTATAAGGACACTAATCCCATTCATGGCCCCAAAGGCCTCTCAAAGGTCCTGCCTCCAATGCACCACCTTGGGGGTTAAACTTCAACGTAAGAATTTGGGGTAGGAAGGGGGAACACAGGCATTCAGTCTGCAGCTAGAAGCATTTACTATGTATAATAAAAAGGGTACTAGATACTGTATTAACACATGTACATGGACTCTAGAAAAGTGGTACTGATGAGCCTATTTGTAAGTCAGGAAGAGAGACGCAGACAGAGAAGAGACTTGTGGGCGTGGTGGGGGGGCAGGGTAGGGTGGGATGAACTGAGGGAGCAGCATTGACATATACACTACCACTGTGAGACACAGAGCTCGTGGGAAGTTCCTGTATAACACGGGAGCTCAACGCAGTGCTCTGTGACAGCCTCCAGGGGTGGGATGAGGGGTGGCAGTGAACTTCGAGGGGAGGGGACATATGTGTACCTTGGGGCTGAGGCATGTTGTTGTATGGCAGAAACCAGCACAATATTGTAATTATCCTCCAGTTAAAACATTTTTAAAACGGGTCCCAGAAACACTAATTCATGATGAGTAGGTGAGGATAGAAATAGATTTAAAAATTAAGAGAAAACTGAAATATCAGATTCAGTTTGTCAGCGTGGGCTGGGAACGAAGGGGGAAAAAGAAAAGGTGAGTGGGGTCTTTCTGAGGTCCTAAGAAATGCATTCATAATTAATGTGATGGAAAAGGATCTTAGAAGAACTTGAATTATCAAATAGGCTGGTTCTGAGGAAGAAAAAAATGCCTGGAGAGTAGGGAGTGAGCTAGGAGCTGAGTCCAGGTCAAATCATGATCCTTAGTAATAGAAAAAGAAAAAATCTCACCTCTGGAATTTCCAGAAAGAGACAAAGGTACTAAATTTGCTAAGCATCTTACCTGCTTCCTTGATAGCTCAGTTGGTCCCCTGCAATGCAGGAGACCCTGGTTCAATTCCTGAGTTAGGAAGATCCCCTGGAGAAGGGATAGGCTGCCCACTCCCATACTCTGGCTGGGGAATTCCATGGACTGTATGTCCATGGGGGTCACAAAAAGTTGGACTCAACTGACTGACTGACTTTCCCTCTCGCTTTTGCCTGCAGAGATATCAGGGCACAAAGTCCTCTTAAAGCTGTGGCTCTTTTTATTCCTGTTAATCCAGATCTGCCTTGTGTTAGTCACTCAGTCATATCCAATCCCATGGACTCTAGCCCACTAGGCTCTTCTGTCCATGGAATTCTCCAGGCAAGAATACTGGAGTGGGTAGCCATTCCTTTCTCCAGGGGAACTTCACAACACAGGGATCGAACCCTGGTCTCCAGCATTGCAGGCGGATTCTTTACTATCTGGGCCACCAGGGAAGCCATTGTGCTCCCTTCCCACAGGAGCACTCACTTTCGATCTTGGGTCGATAAAGTTGGTTTCTTAGAAGAGAAGCCTCTCCCGCAAAGGGGCTTCTCTAATCTTATCGGCACTTCTTGGGTAGCAGGGTTTGCTGTTCCGCCTTCTGCAAGGCTGGCTTGAGTTGCTAAGCTTAACGGGTGACTTTTCACCAAGACAGGTGCACGGCAGCCTTTGTCCAGCAGAGGGTGCTGTTTCTC